CACGTGGTGATAAACGAGGCGGACAATCAGACGACTCTTTAGTGACCAAACATTAATAATATCAGTGTATTTAACACGTGTGAGTTTAAGCTCCTGGTTCGGGAAGCGAAGTGGATTCAGACCTGTTTTCTGGTTTGCCATCAACAAGGTGACCTAGAAAAGCCAGCAGTGCATTTTAATGAGAACTTCAGAACCACTACAATAGGAAGAGCCCGTGGTCTCCATCCAGCTCTGATGATCTCCGTCTAACAGCTACACCTGCGATGCTATTTGTTAAAACATCCATCTTGTCCCTGACGCTTAAACGAGGCTGTAATTCTTATTATTTAGTTTTTTTTTTCTCCTCTCTCCTCCATTTAAGTGTTTGTGAGCAGCAGCACAACCACCAACAACAAAAAACGTCTTTGAATCTGCTTCCATCTTCTCATTTTAAACACACACGTCCATGCATTCGCAGTCTGTGGCATCTGCAGCGAGCGGAAAGAGCTTCACGCACACAATCACACGTAGCGAGAGAACAATGGCTCGAGCCCACAGCAGAAAACAAACAGACAGGGAGATGTCTAAAAGCTCTCAAGATGAGAGCTGCATGCAAATTGTTCTTTTGACAGTATCCTTCCCTGCTCACTCACCGCTCCGCCACAACAGAGATACCGAGACAGAGCGAGCGAGAGCGAGGCAGAGCGAGGAGGAAGGAGGAGAATAGTATCTAGCCATAACAGAGTTGATTGGAGAGGGGCCTTATTAAATCTGTTTACATTCCCTGCTGGGCTCCATTCTGTCAGAGAGACTTTCAACTCCATGGGACGTTTTCTGAGGAGTTTTTCCACCAAAATGGCTGCCTCTAATTAACAGGGACCTGCCGAGTCCCAGTGGCCAATTATATTCCTCTCCTCGTCCCTGCCCACCAGCATTTGTGCAGCTCAGCAGTCCACTTCATGTTGGTTGTGAACACTCTGGCTGTCCCTGCTCTCCCGCTGTGGAGCCCAGTGCTGAGGACAGAACTCGCTGCATGTCCTGCTGACTGGGTACAACGCACAGCCGCCGCTCTCCGGCTCTCAGCTTCGAGATGCCGCTTCTTTTTTTTTTTGTGCTCACAAGTTATAATGCCGCTTGTGTAGGAGGCAGAAGCCGGCGCGGGGCTTTTGGCTGAAAGTAAACAGTTGTTGGAAACATATGAAACAAAAGTGAGAGGGTGTGAGATAAAGAATTTAGATCTAAATGGTTATGAGCTGGGGGAGACAAAAAAAACAAAAAAAAAACAACAGTGCCTGGTGGTCATTCTTAAAAGTGGCGTCTTAAGAACGATAAATCGGCTTGTTTCAGACAAAGAGGCTGCAGTTCTGCAGCTATAAAGCAAAGTGCATGGCAGGGAGCTATTACTTTGAAAGTTTTAAGGGGTGCCTGAGTGCTCGATAGAGAGAGAGGGAGAGAGGGAGAGAGAAATTAAAAGCAGGATGAGCAATTTCGCTAAGAATTTCCCACAGGTGCAGGTTTGCATGTGTTAATAAAACGTAGATGTGTGACGGATGCATTTTCCTCAGATATACACACACAAAGGATGCGAGCAGCTGAAAAGGCCACGCAGCCCGTCCTCTGCACAACCCCGTCCGTCCGTCTCAGTCAGCAGCATCACCAGAACCACAGCGCATTTATGTAAACACAGTACAATATCAGATCATATCACTTCATGGGTGTGTAAAATGGCTGGGCCATCCATTTGGCAGCAGTAGTCTCCTTACCATCTTTGGCTGTGTCAGCAATCCCTTCTCTGCCCAGCCCTGGAGCTGTGGGAGCTCTGCCTGACGCCACTGTGTCTCTGTCGACCCCTATGGAGCGGAGCACAGGGAGGAAGGGACGCACAGCCCACCGTCAACATCATACACTCACTTTGCAAGGTTAGGGGGGGATGCAGTGGGATCTGGGGGAGTGGGGGAGGAGGGGGGAGGAGAAATGGCAGCTCGCTGGCAAAAACACAGATACACCTCTCCGACTAAAACAGGTGGCTCAGGATTTTTATTTTAGTTTTATCTTTTTGGCTGCTTAAGACGAGTGTTTTGTCATTATTTCATCAGCTGTTTTAATCATCCAAACACCTTCACAGTCAACACAATGAAAGTGCATGTGTGTGCCGAGGCTGGCGGCTCGGTGTGGCCACTGCAATGACCTTGGCAGAGTTTATAATGAGGGTTTCCCTCTTGCTCTCTGTGGGTAAACAAGCCTGTGGTTGAAGAGACAGAAATGCCACAAATGAGCAGGAAGTCTGTTCGCCGGCTCTCCAGAGCAGGGGGCTTAAATGCCTGCAGCTATCTGCGGATGCTACAACAGCCAATTTAGCAGGAGAGGAGGAAGAGAGGAGGTATGACCTCTGCCTTCATTTACTCCTTCAGAGAGATGAAGAGCGGGAGTGAGGGATCAGATGGGAGGAGGAAGAAAAGGCAAGGGCTGAGTAATGGGGAAGACACTTCAATACTTCAAAGAAAGGGGAGAGACGGAGGTGGGGGGAGGAGGGAGAGTCTGTACATGTTCTGTTGTCAATGTGTCTTGTAAACTTAGGCAGGAATGCATAATGGAGGTCTAAATGAGAGTGAACTGTCAGCTTGAAAGGGAAAAAGAAGATGCAGAGGGGCAGAGAGGTCAGGGTAGGAAGGAGGACGAGCGATATAGCTTCTCCTGGCCGCTGACAGGTTGTGGTAAATATTGAGAGATTTCTGGGATTATCATATAGCAAGAAAAAAAATAAATCGCTTGAGCCACCTTTTGTTTTAGTACAGTGAGGACTGAAGGGTTGTGAAAACACTGCAAGTCTGACTGGGAATAAAGTAGGTTACAGGAATTAGGTTGGTGCCTAAATTTCCCCTCCTGCATAATAACACTGAGCTTATAGCTGAGGTCACAGGCAGTGCACTCCAACAAGTAACTCCCACATTCTGCAAGATAAAAGCCTGATTTAATGATAAACTATTAAAGCTGAAAGCCTTATTTTGATGGATTGACATAATAATGTTGCACCAACTTAATCCTGTGGGTCGGTTCAACTCAAATCTCTGTGTTAGTTGGTTTTAAACTAGACTTGAGTTGAGCTAACTTCATAAAATTGGCTTGATAACTTGTCAAGCATTTATATTAACATGCCTGGACGATTTCTGACTAGTAATTCAAATTAACTTTGATTCCAGAGGAACAGCTAATTCCCTCGACTCAATTTAGTTTGTTGGTTGAACATAATTTCCTACTAACATTCTATTTTAAAGTGCAAGGAGCCATTTTGACAGGGGGCTAGCTACACCTCAAGGGGCACTATTCAGGATTTAAAGCCACCACATACAGTCTCATCAACACACTGTGCAGCCTGCGAGCTGCAGAGCTACCCCTGAAAAACAGAAAAACGTTAGGCAGAGGTGAAACATCAAAACCATGGTCCACCCATTCTGCAAAAAGCCGTCACTGGACACACTATAAGCCGGCGTGGAGGTTGATGGCGCGCCGCAGCAAGCAGACGAGTGTCGTGGTAGCAAGCAGACGAGTGTTGTGGTAGCATGTAGAAATGTGGTGATAAAAATGTGAGGAAGCAGCAAGCAGATGCATATGAGTCTCAATTTAAGCGTATAGCGGCGAGGCAGCGCGGCGCCGCAGAAAAGGGGAATATTACATTTCTTAGAAGTGCGTTTAAGTCTCTGCATCCCATTTTCGAAACACTACTCAGTGCTCAATATTCAGTGCTCAACCATTCGATAAAACAAACACAGCATCACACACACACACACACACACACACACACACGGGCGCCGGTTCGTCTTTCTTCATATCCTCGCTGTCCTTGCGTTTATCACATGAACACACACATGTGCGTCTCCTGATAAAAATCTCAAATAACACTGGAATAAGGGTGCAATGCAATTACATTCGCCAACCATTGAGATGAAAAACCGCTCATGGATACATTTTCAATTATTCAGGGAATACATTTCAGTCGGTGCTCAGATGCTGGGAAAAGTTATTATATAATCAATACACTCTATAACGCCATTAATATTTGATGCCACAAAAGTGCTTCCTGTCTCCTTGGGCTCCCGGCCAGCGGTATCTGGGTACTGCAGTCGAAGAGGACGAGCTGTGACTGCCTCCAGCGAGGAAGGGGAGCACACGTTTGCTTTCCTATAACACCGGAGAACTCAAAAGGCAAACAGCTTTCTGGCTTTCTTCTGCGAATTAGTCGCATCCATTTAATCTCAATCTTTCTTCTGTTTTGTGCACAAAGATTATCTTCCCTTCTCCACCCCCCTTTATGTCAATTCTGCACACATTTATTTATTTTTTTTGCCTTCCTTTCCCACCTCTCCTGCTTCTACGACATAAAACCACCACTTTATATTGCTGGCCTGGCGCAGGCTTCCCTCCCCCTTTTCTCTTACAGAGCTTAGACAATCAATTTAGCCTGACTTGGCCAGGATAGATGGAGGCTGTAGAGACTGCGGAGTAGACAGTATGCTGCAGGATCTCTGCGCTGATAGACACACTGCCTGGCAGCTACAAAATGGAGCCAGCATGCAACCATCTGACTTGTTAGACTTCGCCTCGCCGTCTTGCTTCGGATATCATTTGTGATTTTCCTTCTGCATTTTGTTTTTTTTAAATAAACACAGTGGATGTAAAATTAGAAATTTATCATCAGCTGTGGTGATGTTGATAATCACCCCCCGCCCCACCACCACCACCACCACCACCACCACCACCAACTACTTCTGGTGGACCCAAACCGAATTGGAGTTCCTATCAAACTGACTGAGACACAAAGAGATTAATACGACTTTACTATCTCAGCTTCTCGGCCAGTCAAGTTCCGTGTAATGCTCTCTGCGCTATTGATTTTTATTTTTCTCTCTCCTCTCCCTTTCTTCCCGGCCGTCTCTCTCTCTCTCTGTCTCTCTCTCAGCCTCCCTCCACCTCCGCCAGCCTCTTCCGAGCTCTGAAATGTCCTGCAGGTCAGACGGATGCTGGGCCGGATCAATCAGGGGAAAGTAATCTGGGACGCCTCATGCACGCAAGTACACACACGGACACATCACAGATACTCACACACCCCTCTTGTGTTGCACTCTGGCCTGCCTGCCTCCAGTCTCATCGATCTGCATCTACTTTACCAAATGGATTCTTCTCTTCTTCTATCCTCCTCCTCCACCTTCTCTCTTTTTTTTCCCTCCTTTCCCTCTCTCTGTGTGACTCAGAATAATAAATGTTCCAGACCGCGCGAGACGTGTACGTAAGCAATTTTTCATTTAACTTTGGCTTGACTTTTTTTTTTTTTTTTTTACCCCTCTCTCTTCTTTTTGTGATGCTTCAGTGTCTCCTCGGTGAGATCGATGCGGTTTTCCCACACACTCCCTGGCAGCTCCTGGGTAATCAGCACCAACTTGTGTGAGGTCAGAGGTCAGGAGATGACAGGAGCACCGAGGGAGATGTCAGGAGGGATCTATATAATCTGCAGATTTATGATTTGGGACGTTTTTAATGTTTAGATGTTAAACGTCCCGTGCATTGTTTAATTTCGCTCATTTTTGAGCGCTAAAGCGTCCGCCGCCACGGATATTTTCGCCATATTTTGCATTTTCTTCGGCCGAATTGTTAATTTTTAATCTAAAAACTTTTTCTCAGAAACTATTCCTGCTGCTTTGTGGGCAGTCAAAAGACAGAACATCCTTCAAGCACAATGACTCTGAGGACCTGTGCTGCTCTATACATACAGCACCGAGTCACATTCCCTCTGTCACACACACACACACACCAGTTTCCTTTAGCTCAGCCAAACTGTAGGCGGAACTGGAGCCATTTGTCCACTGGCTGAATCCCAACTCTGCACCAACGCATGCAGAAAATTGGTGAGCATCTTGACTCTGGAGATGACACTTCAATTTGCGCAGCTCCAGTGACTGGTGCTCTGCAGTTCCTCCCTTGTGGGGGTGTGAGATCAGCTGGACACCTGCCTGGCTGTTTGGCTCCAGCCTGGAGCATTGGGGGACTGGGCCTTGGAATCGAAGGCCTGGCCTTGTCTGTCAGCCCGAGCCCCCGTCCCTCAGCCCCGGCCCCGGCCCGGCCTCTCCGGTCCTCATCACAGCTCCCCTCGTTCCCTCCCGTGCCAGCAGCGGTCCCTCGCTCGACGCCCCCGACCCCCTATTTCTCCATCCAACCCTCGGCCGCGAGTCGATGCAGTGCCATCCTCCCAACAGCCGGCTCTCCCTTGAACAGTATCAAATCCCCATCAGCGGCGTGCCAGCCTTTGTTCCACTTCTGGCCGCCGCTGCCAGCACCTCAGCTTCCAGCTCAAATCAGCAAGATGTCTCGGCCGTGCATCGCTGTCTGTCCTGCTGTAATCCCCGGGTGTGACGGATGGGAGTGATCATTGTCAAGGCCCTCAGCGAGGACATTTTGGTGGATTAAAGAGGCTAAATCATTGTCTCATCCCCTACATGGGATTCCATCCTTAATTAAATGTAAATGTGGTTAAGGGTTTTAGCGGAGATCGTATCTGTCCAACATATGGGGCTTATTTTCAGTAAGTAATAACCTTGTTTCTGTGGCTGGCGAGGACAAAAGACACCATCAGAGAATAGGTTTAAAAATAAGACAGGAGAGGTTCACATCACCTGTCATTTAACGTGACACAAAAGATCTCTTCTTCTTCTTCTATTCTCGCAGCACAAAAAATTCGCCTTGACTCCGTTCACTCACTTTTACTCACTCTGGAAACGGATTTAAACGACACCGAGTTTTTGCAGCTTCTCGGGGCAGCTCGTGTTTCTGTGCAGGGATGAAGTTGCTTTCAGCAGGG